GTGCACGTGTGTGTGCGCACAGACGTCAGTGCAGTGTTTGCTGCACAACCACTCGCCCCTCCCATCCCCCACCCGTAAATAACCCCACTGACCTAACAAGGGAAGAAACTTTGGAATCTCTATCCTTAAGTTTTCATCATCATAGTTTTCTTCTCTATCCTAACGTGGAACATGATGTGGATCGTTGGTCGCCTTTGCCGCCGAACGGTGGGAAGGATGGAATGATGCCTTTTCTTTCTTCTGTTCCCTGCCCTCCTGAAAGGGACTTCATGGCTTCTGCAATCCAGCACTTTCTTGATGGACAACAATAGAATCTGGATCTTTTTCTACATACACGTATCCTCCTTCCCCCTGTGCCCCCACCGTGGGAGCCTCCTGCAGCAGTGATCCTGCACTTAGGGTCCGTCTCACCTGCCAGGGTGTAGGGAGAGACAGGGATGAGGGCGCCGAGCACCAGAGGGTTAAGACCACATCCCCCTAGGTCTTCCCACTGACTCTCCCTGGCAGGTGCACCCATGCCCTGGACTCACACGTGCCCTGAGGGCCGCCTTATCCATGAGCCCATCATCCAGGCAATGACGTCAGGCTGGGGAGATCAGACAAACAAAACTTAGATTTTCAGAGGAGAGAAGGGCTATGTGCCCTCCTCAGTAATGAACCAGCACCTGAAATGTGTATTTTATGAGTTTGAGGTTTGTTTTTTTTTTTAATCAATGCTATTTAGTACTTCTAATTTTCTAGTTACAAAGTAATACATTTTCATCATGAAAAATTAAAGATACAGGTGAGTAAAAGAATAGTAAAAAAACACATCCCTAGTTCCCCGACTTCAGGCTACCGTTGTTACAAACTTTAAAGTTACTTGCTTCTAGTCTCCTTCTCTATATACTTGTGTACATTTTAATTTTTGTTACTCTAAGCAAGATTAGGATCGTATTGCATATCTATTTTTTACTAGTCCACATAACTTGACATCTCCAAGCTCTCTCTTCCTTTGGTTAAAAATGCTCTGTACCTTGTTTTTAATGGCAGGACAAAATGCCATCACACAGATAACCCGTAATTGGTTTTCTTGACGCACTACTGCTGGACACTTACAGGTAGTTTCCAGTTTCTCACTGTTCATTGTGGGGCTCTGGAGAGCCTCTCAGTGTGGGAAGGATCAGCTCTTGGTTAATTTCATGCGGCCCTGCCAGTTTCAAGGACTGTGTGATGGAAAAGGGAGAGTCTTGGCTCTGAGTCCCAGGGAGGGGGCAACGGCTGACAGGTCCATCTGGGGGCAGAACAATCTTCGTACTAGCTGGAGCTGTCCCAACAGAGAACGGTCTTCTGTCTGGGGTCATGGAGTATTTCTCTGGGGGCTCTAAAGGGGAGACCCCCGAGAAGCAGATTTCTGCAACAGGTGCATCCTGGGCTTGACTCGTTTCTCTACTTTGTCTCTCACTGCGGCCACTCCCTCTAGAACTCTGCACAGAAGTGTAGGCACAAGTGGCTTTTGGTAGCTCGACTAGCCTCTTGGCAGTGGCTCCCTCCGCTCCCACTAGAAAAGGACAAAATCCTTGCAGTGTTTTATCTGCTGTTGTGTTACGCCTCATTACAGCTGGGAGAAACCAGAGAAGGCTGGGCTGGCCCCACCTCCAGAGGGAACAGATGGGCTCCCCGCCATAGAGCCTGCTTAGACAGAAGCGGGGGTTAATATCGGCATGCCAGTGGTGCATCCTTCAGCATCCAGCTCGCTGCTGGACTTCTAGCGGAACAGTATTTCTCCAGGGCCCGCGGTCCTCAGGCTGGCTCGGGGAGAGGGGCCCCAGGGTTCCTTCGATCTGCCCTCCCTTCCTCCCTCCCCCTGTCCCTCCCCCTTTCCCTTCCTTTTCTGTATTGGAAATGAGAACAGCTCCAATCCTGACCATAATAGAAACACGTTGTAAAAGCCTGGCAGGGGCTGAACCAGCCCAGGCTTCTGGGAGACCAGTCCAGGGAGACCCCGTTTTACTGTCATTCCTCTTCCTCCTGCCCTTACGAGAATTGGATGTCTGTTTATAGAGGGCATCCCCATCCCTCATTCCATTTGCAAGGCCTACAGTCCTTAGAGGTGAGAAGAACAGGTGTTTGTTGCAGTGTCACGGAAGGGGAAGGGAGGCTGAAGGATTGTTTTGTGCTGGGCACTGATGCCCATGGCTCTCTGCAGTCCCAATGGCAACTCTTGTCACTTGCTGTTGTCTCACAAACCCCAGAGGGTAGCTTGAACATAGCCTGTCCCTTATTTATTGATTATGTTTTATAAAAGGTTTTATTTATTTGAGAGAGCGAAAGCGAGAGAGATTGCAGAGGGAGAAGCCGACTCACTGCTGAGCAGAGAGCCTGATGCGGAATTCGATGCCAGGACCCTGAGATCATGACCCGAGCTCAAGGCAGACGCTCAACCGACTGAGCCACCCAGCCACCCTACAGCCTCTCCTTTAAATGTCACATGGCTGTTTGTAGAATAGTGGCAGGCGTTGGTGGGGGTGGGCAGGAACACTGCGACTGCCGATGACTTCTCACTGGGGCGGAAAGATGCTGAGGAGCGCAGACCCAGGACATCGCTTGGGAGAGTTGGCGGTTCATGGGACTGTGGGTATGGCCTTGAGAACATTTCACTTCCCAGTTCAGATGAATTTAAACTTGGAGAGATTAATTGATGGAACTGGGTAGGTTCTCAGCATTCCCAACTCATTTCACTTAAAGTAGCCCATAGATTTGGTTAGTTGGTTTACCCAGCTGTCCATCATCCATCCATCCATCCATTCATCCATCAATCTCTCTTCTGTTTTTTAATTTCTTTCCATCCATCCTTTTCATCCATCTGTCCATCCTCCTTACTTCTATCCATCCGTCTTATTTTTATCTACCTGTCCACCATCCTTCCATCCATCCATCCAGCCAGCCAGCCTTCTCTTGAAGCTGAGAGTGAATTACCTTGAAAGCATGGAGTTTGGAAAGCCCGAGATGAATCTGTAGGACCACGCATGAATTGACTGTAAGACCGTGGATGGATTATTCACCTCTCCATGACTGTTCGGCAATGAAACATACATGGAAATGGCACCAACTTCAGAAGGTTATTGTCAAAAGAAGATGGAATGCTGCAGGCTGTTGGTGCTGTTTCATTCTAGATGCTGAGTTGGACACATCACTATCAGTGTAATCTTCTTCATGGAAACCCTTAGCAGTTAGTGTGGCCATCCCTCCGTGTTTCACAGGAGAGGTCAAATAACATGACCAGACCCCCCCCCTCCCAGCTATGAAGTGAATTTACAATTTTTTCTCCCTAGCCAAAGTGAATTCTGCTCCCCATGACTAACCCATAGTCTTTCCTTTTCTTTTGTTCCCTGTCCAATCAGCACGGGGTGGCCTTCCCTCTCGGGCCCAGCTCTTTAATAAAGGTGACTGTGGGCACAGCTCCACGTAGCCCTTCAGGATGGGGACCTCTGACGACTGACCATACTGTCCCTTTTCCTCTTGCAGCCAGCCAAGCTTGCTGAGGCCTTCAAGTACTTCGTGCAGGGCATGGGATACAGTAAGTGTGGCCTTTCTGGGCGGGTGGTGGGGTGAGGGGCAGGCATGGGAATTGAAAACGCAATGGCCTGGACCGGGCTTGTAACTAACTACGCTCAGTACTCTCGGCCAGCCTCAGCTTTTTGCAAACTAGGAAGGTCAGGGGAGGAAACGTTTAGGTGTGTGGTGGATGGGTGGTAGTGCGGAGGTTCTAGTATCTTCTTTATACCACGGTGGCTTCATCTCCCTCCATGAATTACCAGGTATGGTTTCAAATGGAGTTTTCTTTAGATTTAGGTGAGGACCCACCCTCTAAGCACCAAAAAGAGCACAGTGGAACCCTGAAAATCTTCCACATTTTGGTTACATGCTTGCTTGCTTTTTTTAAAAATTTAATTTCAATTTAATTGACATAGAGTGCATTACTAGTTTCAGAGGTAAAACTTAGTGATTCGTTAAGTTATGTGTATGTGATTATGTGCTTGCTTAAGAGACTTACCGTTGTGATGGTGGTGGTGATGATGGTCATGATGGAAGATTATTAGTAAATCCTTCGGTTTTTTTCCTCATTTAACCGTCACAGTAAGCCTATGTGCTACTTTTTTTTTTCTCCCCTTTTTTTTGAGAGAGAGGGAGAGAATGCGTGTGCATACAAATGGGGTTAGGAACAGCGGGAGGGGGAGACAATCTTGGGCTCCACACTCCGCACAGAGCCCAGTGAAAGGCTCAGTTTTGCAACCTTGAGATCATGAGCTGAGCCGAAATCAAAAGTTGGATGCTTACATGACTGAGCCCCCCCTAGGCTCCCCAGGCGCCCCATCCTATGAAGACTTTTACCCTCATCTTACAAATAATGGAACTGATGTTTGGAGAGATTAAGCAAGAAGCAGAGTGGGTATCTCTGAAAGTTCTTTGAAAACCATAAAGCTCTGTACGTGGGTGATAAAGTCACCCGTATTCAAGACCGTGCCTCTTTGCCAAGTCCTTGGATTTGGGAATTGAAGGAGAAATAGAAGCATACTTCAGGAACGTGCTGTTTCTTACATGATGGTTATAGTTCAGTTGTTAGACACATCCAGCCTTCTTCAGCAGTGCAGTCCCATGACCAGGACAGACCATTGCCAAGTGTAAGCACTCTGGTGGGTTGCGGCCACAGATGGTACCAGTTGAGGTGTGAGCCGTGACGTGGTTCTTTTGGCTCCTTCTGCCGACGGCTTTGAATTATAATTTATGTGCCCATCTTAACGAGGATGTCTGAATGTCTAATCTATTCATTTTTTTTCCCCTCGGAGCCGGAAACTTTTTGTTCATTTAAAATAGTAATGGTATCTTTGGTAAGCCGACCACACTCTTAAGATTGGCCACAGCTGCCTTTAGTTTCTAGAGAGGCCAAGAGCCAGTGAGTCTCATTTACATGCTGCAGGCAGGGCCCGTGTCCCTAGGTGCCCTGTTCCAACAGAAAACATTTGTCTCTGGGTCTGCTGCCTTCTCAGCTACCGGCCAATGGGAAAGCGAGCAGGCAGAGGCAGCGCCCGGAGACCGCCGCGGGGCGGGCTTGGTTTACCTGGCAGGGCGCACATCATGATTCGTTTGCTTTGGACCTGCCCTGGCTTTGGATTTCTGCCCCGAAAGTGTATTCTGAGGAGAAAGGAAGTGAAAGGCAGGCCTTGTTCCCTCCAACACACACATATACACCCCCCCCACACACACACACAACACCAGCTTCTGTTTCCAGGAAGCTGAAGCATCGGCAGGTTACAGGGAAGAAACCAGGAGGAGCCTCCTCCCAGAGGCATGAACCACAGAGAAAGCAAGTAGTCATCTGCGGAGCGTCTGCTCAAGCTAGGCCAGGCAGGACTCACTCTTTGCATCCGTGACACCATTTGCTGGTCAGCCTTGAGCACTGTGACATCAGAAGAACTCTCAGATTGGGGGATTGAGAAATAGGGGTTCAGAAAAAAGAGTGAGCGACAGGTGTGGGAGCGATCCCGATTCTCCCTGGATCTAAACACTCGCTCTTGGGAAGTGAGTGTTTTTCCCACTGAGAAGGGAATTCAGTGCGGCAAGGATTTGTCGGGTTTGTGGGCACGTGTCCCAGCAGGCCAGCCCTTGCGTCCTCGGAGTGACCGGCGTAGTCACCGCCAGGCTTGTGTATGTATCCAGTTCCTTGGCTTGTGACCGATTGCTCAGTGTGGCCTTCGCAGTGATGCTTTGTTTGGGGGGTGTACTAGCTTCCTATAGCTGCTGTAACAGATCTTCACAAACCGGATGGCTTAAAAACACCGAGAAACTTGCTTTCATGCTACTACAGCTCTAGAAGCCAGAAGTCCAAAGTCAAGATGTATGCAAGGTCATGCCCCCCCTTGGAGATTCTAGAAAGATCTTTCCTTGCCTCATCTCAGCTCCTGGAGGGAGCTGGCAGCCCTTGCTTCTCTTTGGCCTGTAGCCACATGACTCCCACCTCTGCCCTGGGTTCACATGGCTGTGTGTGTGTGCGTGTGTGTGTGCGTGTGTGTGTGTGTGTGCGCACGCACGCACGTGCACGTGTAGGGATGTTCTGTCTCATGAACAACCAGCCTAATCTAGTATGACCTCATCTTAACAAAAAGTATTGGCAAGGACCATATTTCTGTTCTTCAGTTCTGCTGCCTATGAATTTGGGGCTGGTGGTTATGAGTTTGGGGGGAGTAGAGGGCAGGGTTCAGCCCAGTGCAGGTGGGAGGGGTCACTTTGTCTTCATTTCACTTTCTCAGCCATCTGCTCTGTGCAAGGCTCTTACAAGTGCTAAAGGATGGGCATCACCATTGATAGTTCCTGGGAGCTCACGAGCTCTCTGGAAGAGATGACAAGTCACAGCTGGGCTGCAGATTTGCTGAGCGGGGGTGGGCTTGGTTTCCTCACTTGTGGCTTGTGGGGATTAGCCCAGCTGGTGTCCTCCGGGGATGTCTTGACAGTGGAGGGTTGTGGTACGTGGGCACACACGGGGTTGCTGATGCTGGGGGATCGGTGTTTCCATTTTACTGATGGGCTTGGAGGGCTCCGAGAGGGACATTCCCAGAGTCACACAGCTGTTAAGCAAGCGGCAGACTTGGATTCAGACCCACCTCTAGGTTCAAGCCACCATGGGATCGCAAGTTCTTAGCTTCACGGGGACTTGCTCTCCACCACTGCGAGCAGATACAGAGAGGACGGGGAGCCCGGTGGCTGGATGGATACCGGGATGGACAGGTCAGGCAGGAGGAGCCACCGTTGCTGGCGTGCAGGTGCTGTCGTGTTCTCTAACTGGGTCCCTAAGCGGGTGCATCTTCTTTCTCTCTCCTCAGTGCCCTCGGCCAGCATGACCCGTCTGATGCGCTCCCGCACGGCCTCTGGCTCCAGTGTCACGTCCCTGGAGGGCACCCGCAGCCGCTCCCACACCAGCGAGGGCACCCGCAGCCGCTCCCACACCAGCGAGGGTGCTCGCCTGGACATCACCCCCAACTCCGGGGCCACTGGCAACAGCACCGGGCCCAAGTCCATGGAGGTGTCCTGCTAGGCGGCCTGCACCACGGCTGCCCCTGGACTCTGGGCTTGCGCAGCTGCCCTTTCTCTGGCCCTTCCCATCCCCGCCTGCCACACCACACGTAACTCGTATTAACCCAAAGCTTATGGTGTAAGAGAGCTCTGGGGGAGCACACAGTTAGACTGGGTTTGTCAAGGGCGCCTTTCCCAGCAGGGGCAGGGTGGGCGGACCAGAGGAAAAGAAGGATCTCAGTGTCTGTGCTCATGGCCGGGCTGGCCTGATGGCCATCCCCCACCCTCTCTCAGAGACGCCGAACTGCCAAAAACAAGACACGCCGCCCTAAACACTTCCTAAATCCAGGCCTAGGCTGACCCGAGCATCCTGGTTCTAAAGGGCACTTTGTCGGAAGCCAGCCCCCTCTCCTTCCTGTTTCTTCTCCAACTAAAGACAAACTGACCCAGTTTCGGGAAACAGAGCCCTGTTCTGATTTGGGGAGGGGAGAGCAGCAGATTGTAGGTAGCTCTTTTTGAACTCCAACAACAGGAAGCGGGAGAGAGGTGGAATTTACGTGGAGGCTAGAATGTTTGGAAAAACAAATCTACGCAGTTGACATGAAGACATAGATTTTCAAATTTAGCGTATATATCCACTTTTTCATGCTGAAACATACAGGCCTGTTCTTCTGGCATCCTTTCAATGGACAGTGAAAGTGGGCAGCAAAATCTCTGGGCTTTCCAAAGAAATGGTCTTGGCAAACATTGGTGTCATTGGATCGGAGCCCTTGGCTCTGCTGTCTGCCGCCTCCTCCGCAGCCCCGACTTCCCACCCCGAATACGTGAGTGATGATTTCGTTCATGGGGAAGATGACTTAGGTTTGTACTTACTTTCTTTGACATGGAGGGAAACATTCCAAACAGCCCTACGTGGCTGTGATGAGTCTCCACGCTGTGGGGCGGGAGGTGGGGGTGGGGCAGGGAGGGGGTTGGGGTGGGGGTGGTATTTGGTTTATTAGATCTAAGGGATTTCTGTGGTTGTGATGGGATCCAGGGCAGTCTCGATTTCAGTCTATCCCACCCCGGTTCCCAGGAATCTTGGGTGATTGAGTTAACTCCAGCTCCCAATCTCTGACTAGTGGGGTTGAACCTGAGTGTGGCAGCCGAATGTCTCTGACTTGGTAGCATCACTGGGTCTTCGGGGAGAAGTTTGCCCCTGCAGGGGGTGGGGATTCACACGGGGAGTGTTGGCTGAGAAGATGAAAGGATTCTGGAATATTCCATGGGATTGCCGTCCCCCTCTTCCCTGCCCCTCTAACCTTTTGCTGAATGCAGCGGCACCACTGACAGTTCTGGGCAACGTCAGCGTCGCTGTCAAGTTTCTGTACTACTGGCTTTTGATTTTCATTTTGGCTAACCATGGGTTATCTTAGAGTAGGTTCGATCCGGGTGGGATGAATCCGTGCGAATCAGCCACTGGGGCCTGGTGCTTTCCGGGACCCTACGATTGGTTAGAAGGAAGTAATCAAGACTTCTAGGTAGCTGGAGGGGCAGTGACTCAGTTTCTTGCCTCTACCAACCAGAGGCTTCCCCGCCCCCCGACTTGTGCAGAAAGGTCAGGGGTCAGGGCAGGAGTGGCTGAATCGAGATGCAAAACTGTTCTGTACACGTCTTTCCAAAGGAGTTTCTTAATGAGATATTTGTATTTATTTCCAGACCAATAAATTTGTAACTTTGCAGTGGCTTGTGTCTTCTTCCTCTGAGAGAGTGTGTGTGTAGCCCCACAGTGGCGGGAGGGGTCCTTCCTTACCTGGGGCCTCCCAACGCCTGCCTTAGGACATCACTGTCCCCTAAGACTATAATGCGAGCTACTGATGTAAGTTTACCCTCTCTAATAGCCGTATTTTAAAAGGTAGAAACAAGTGAATTTTAATATGTTTCCTTTAACCCAGCATATCCAGAATATCAACCATTTCAACATAGAATCAGTATGACAATGATTAAGATAATTGACCTTTATGCTAAGAAAATCAGTAATTCACACCGCAGCACCTCTCAATTCAGACCAGCCCTATTTTGGGGGCTCCATAGCTCAGACGGCACAGCAACAAAGGGTTAAAGGTTTTCAACCTGTATTTAGAAGGAAACATCTCTTATGTTTTATTTTTATTACAACAAAGCCTGTGATAAAACCACTCCCTTTCTCACACCCAGTGACAACCATTATAATGCTTGTTTCTGCTATACTAAAAAAAATTTAAACACAGTAGGTTTTAATATGACCTGTTACTTAGGCGGCTTGGGATTAGTTTAAAATTTGTAGAACAATTGGAAAGATGGTACAGAGTTCCCATATACCCCACACGGAATTTCCTCTGTTAGTAAGACCTCACTTTGCTATGGTGCACTGGTCACAACTAAGAAATCAGCATTGGTAATTACTATTAACTAAGCTCCATACTTCATTGGAATGTCACTACCTTGTCGCTGTTCTTTTTCTGTCCCCGGATTCCATCCAAGATGCCACACTGTATGTGTCCTTATGTCTCCCTAACTTCTCTTGGTCTGTAACGGTGTCTCCCACTTTCCCTGCTTTAGATGACCTTGATAGCTTTGAGAAGCGCTTGTCACGCATTTTGTAGACTGTCCCTCAGTGAAAGTTTCTATGATACTATTCTCATGGCTCCACTGGGGCGATGGGTTTTTTGGAAGGAAGATCGCAGAGACAGAGTGCCATGCCAACAGCGTGATGAGTCATCGGGAGTCCCCACTCACTCCATTGACCCTGATCACCTGGCTGAGGCAGGGTTGGCCAGGGTCCTCCACTGCCCTGTTAACTTTTCTGCTTCCCCACACTTGTTCTTTGGAAGGAGGTCACTAAATTGCTGAAGGCAGACCCCACTTAAGCCTGCCTTCCCTTTTAAATAGCTATCCTGCTGTTATTTATGCGGGATTTTCTTCACTTATGTGGGAGAGTTTCTTCAAGTGTAATTCACTATAAATTCCCTATAAAACTTGATATCTGCATTATGGTACAGGGAGGGGATATGCTGTAATTTCAGAAATGAATTTGGGCTGACAAAGAGTTGTTACCGCAGCACAGAAGGGTAAGAAGGCTTTCCTAGCCACGGGGACTGTGTGGACCCCGGTGCGGAGGAGGGAAGATGTGGGCCTCTGTGAGGAGCCTGTAGTGTAGATGGGTGCGGGTGGCCAGGCAAGATACCTGCCATGGTGTGATTTCAGTTGGTGATATTGGGGTGTGTTGCCTATGCTTAAAGGGGGGATATGCTAAACCGCAATCAGATTAGTCAACACAAAGATGCATTTTATCCTCATCCCAGTACACGGCCCCTGGATTCTAAACACGGACCACGGGTCGGAGCACCCCACGTTGGGGAAGCCTACTTTACACACAGGAGAAGGAGCTTTTCCCATACTCTCTAGAAAGCCCCTTTTCTGCATCAGGTCCTGCGTGGGAGTCAGAGAGAGGGAGGGTAGTGGAAGAGCCGGCAAGCAAGCGGTGGGTGCCTAGATTGGCTTTGGGAGTGGGGGCTTGGCGCAGCCACTGCTGGACCTGCCAGGCTCACAGCTCGGGGCTTGGGCTTCCCCCGGGGGAAGAGCTGTTGCAGGTGCTTGCGTGCACCAGATGGCTACTGAGAGACACTACACTCAGAGGATTTCTGCCCGCTGGGAGACATATTTCTGTTCTCCTAGCTGCCTGTTTTGGTTTCTATCCCCTAACCTTTGGGTTTCAGTAGTAGCCAGCAGAGCAAGTGTGCATGGAGATGAACCATGTGCAGGATCTGTAGGGACATTGGGGACTTGACCTGCTACTTTCTTCATTGTCCCTTCTCAGACACAGCCTCACTGTTGGTCATTGGATTGGTCCCTTGATGTAACCCCGATCCTTCTGATTACATACTTGTCTTGGGCTAGCTGGGTTGCGTGGAAACCCTTCAGGTGTGTCCCACGTGGAATCCAGGGGCAAAGGGTAAAACTTGGCCTTATGAGGTTGGAGACCAGATGAGGGAGGGGTCCTGGGGAGCCCATCAGCCTCGTTCTTTGTGCTTCCCAAAATCAGATTTCTCTGTATCTCCTAAACCTAAAATGATAGTCCTAACCCAAGGGCTCTGACCTTCAGGTTCTTGGACATGGAACCAGTCAGGTCTTTGTGTCTCCTAAGTGAAAGAAAACCACTGATTCAGCTTGACTTAGGTGTGCACTTGCTGTCCAATCAACTATGACTGGGTTCACCCTCCTCCCACCCCCTCCCCCCACACAAGTGTATCAGGGGTTCTAAGCAGTGGGTGTAGTTGTAACAGGTGAACTGCTGTGCACTCTTCATGGTTAAATTCATTGATAGCCAAACTCACTGTTGCAAGACAGAGCCTTCCTCACCCCTGCTCTGAGAAGTATTTTCCTAATTACCCGCCCTCCGCAGGAAGCACCCGCCATGTGACAAGGGTGCCCTGCAGAGCCCGACCCAGTAGAACGTGCAGTATTTCAACTGTGGGTTACTTTGGGTGTCCTTTTCTCCGGCAATGGCATTTCTTCTGTGTCCCTAGGACCAGCACAAAATGTCCAGCGCGTTTCAGCAGGTTTTTGTTAAATGGAGAAGCACTTCCTCTAATAAGTGTAATATTTAGCAAGTATTATTTTTCTTTCCCCTTTTTATTCTTTATCTCTCAGAATGAGTGATCCTTGTTTCACAGATAAGACAGCCAGGTTCAGAGAGATTAGATGACTTGTCCAAGCATTTCTAAAATGGACCATGTCCCTCGCTGCCTTTAAAAACAGTTCACTGAGCACATGACGAATATAACCAACGATTGATGTGTCGGGATTGCAGAACATCGGCTGAGTTCCCCGGGCTGAACCTACAGATGCCCTTAAGGCGTGGATTGCTTGTGGAGATGTTTGTCCGTCTGTTAAACAGGCTCTGGTGACCTGTGTTTTACCGTATCTTCTACCTGCCTCTCAATTCTTCTGTTTCCTCTGTTGGCGGGCTGACATTTTCTCACGGCTATCAGTAAGCCTCCTTTTAGTAGCTGCCTCTGCCTCTGGATGTGATGGACTAAGAAATCCACTTTGTTCCTATTGTGTGAAAAACGAGAGCAATCTGGTTTAGCACGGAAATCTGGAAACATTCTTTATAGAATATATTCTATGAAAACATACAGGGGCATGGTACCAGCTTTGTCATCTCCTTAGAAGACATTTTCGCTCAGTTCTACGCTGGGAAAGAACCCAGATTCAGCTGGAACCCGGACTTCTCAATATGTAGGATGATTTGGCATTTTCCTTTCATTGGGGAGGGGATCGAGAACACTGACTTCTCTGCCATGTGCTTTTTTAGCTTCGCGATAAAATGCTCTGGCCATTTCCTCCAAATGCCGTGTTCCCCAAACTTCACCCACCTGATAAGTCATCCTAAATTTCTCCCCAAATCTGTACATTTATCTTAATCTGGGGCATCCATAGGACTCCATGATCTAACTTCTGGTTTTGAGAAAGTTATGCTTCAGGATAGAAATGTTCTTGGAAAGAATTCATGAGGCAATTATTCTTTTCTTGGAATTGACTCTCCTCTGACTTTATTATAGTAGCAGAACGTGTTTTGGAGGTAGTGGAGGAGGGGGGTTTGGCCAGAAGGCATCACGCATGTCTTTCACCCCGTGTACTCAGCCATATGCACATCTGTTCACACAGCAGGGCGCGTGCTATGTGCTGCACTGGGTTTGGGGGACAGACAAGAATGGCACCTTTCCTGCCTTAAAGAACCAGTGTTTAATCAAATTATAACATCTAATGAAAACATCAAATAGAAAAGGTGAGGGAGCAAGCAGCATATGATTAAAGTAGAAAAACAGGGGCGCCTGGGTGGCTCAGTGGGTTAAAGCCTCTGCCTTCAGCTCAGGTCATGATCCCAGGGCCCTGGGATCGAGCCCCGCATCGGGCTCTCTGCTCAGCAGGGAGCCTGCTTCCTCCTCTCTCTCTCCCTGCCTCTCTGCCTATTGTGATCTCTGTCTGTCAAATAAATAAATAAAAATCTTTAAAAAAAAAATAAAGTAGAAAAACACTCAACTGAACATTGCTGACCCTTTCTCTTTATATTTGCTGCTGTGAAACAATGATCTAAAAAAGCAAAATATATAGACACATACACTGACTCGAATTTTTACTATACGTTTGCTGACTATCCCCCATTCACAAGGACACGGACATGGACAAGGACACAAGACATGGAAACATCAGCCAATAATAACTGGTTTTGTTAAGCGCTTATGGTCTGCCAAGCTCTGTTCCAAAACTTTGCATGTCATTTGCATTTTATTCATCACAGCATCATCCCCACGAGGCAGGTGCAGTCATTTCCTGCATTTCACAGCTGGGGAAACTGAGGCTCAGGTGGGTGCAGGGAGGAATTCCAGGAAGGAATAAGGTACGGAAAGATCCACTTGACTCCCAAGGTCAGAGCCATTTCCATTTCATCCCGCAACCTTCCTTATCTACTCCCACCAGTTCCTAAGGCAGCTGGCAATAGATACTCACCCTCTCCATCTCTCCATGGGTCCAAGCCCTGCTTACCCAGCCCCTGACACATGCCACACACTGTGCGAGACCAAGAGGATGCAGTCATAGTCCTTGATCTCAAGGCACCCACAGTCTAGTTGGAGATGTAAAAAGGCACTGAATAAATGAGTCAGTGAATGAACGAATAAACACAAGAATGCTAAAGTTTCCTTTTTGTATTTATGGGAGGTGTCTTCCAGCCTGGACCCATTTGTAATACCAACCTTTTGTGAATTCCAGAATTCATCCTTCTGAGCCCATCTACAAATGTCTAGCTACTTTTATTACCGTATGTAAACTATCTGGGACCTAACTTTCCACCATCTGTACATTTATCAGATGTATTCAATGCTCCGTCTTTGCACATCATAACTGAATGTACAAGAAAATCCACCGAATCCAGGAGGTGATTTTGCTGATGATTTATTGCTTTAAGGAGAAAAACATAAACGGGGAATTTGAGCTATGAAAATCCTTCACATTGAACAAACACGTTCTGTGCTACACAGATCATGAGAAAATGAGGAATGTTGTAAAACATGACAGATTGCCCAAGTGCTGTTTTTTCCTCTATTGGGAAATTCTGAGACATTCCTTCTTTTGTACTTTATAGTCCCTTGCAAAAATGGCAGTAGGAATACTTAAATATGAAGTCACAGTCTGAATATGATATAGACGTACATACACACACACAGACACACACGTGTGTATGTGTCGAGATACACAGGTGACCATTCTGACCACTCACGAGTCCCAGCTGTGCAGACTTACTGCAGTTACTTTGGATCAAGATAAGTCCTTAAAAAGACAGTGATCTAATTCAATAGACTAGTTGGGGGCTACATTGCTTCCCCATTATCTCTAACACAGTACAATGTTAATGAAATTATATCAGTCGGATCATATCATTCGAATCTACTTTCTTTACTCACTCCCTGAATCACTTTGAAATTAACATTGTAATTATTGTCTTGTTGTCGGTAAAGTGTCTCTTGTATCTTTCAATTGGGGGGCATGCTAACCGGGCTTAGTGACAGGAAAGATGGCTCAGGTGTCAGACTGACCCAGGTTTGCAATCCTGGTCCACAGTTCACTAGATGGTAAGACACTGAGCAAATAACCCCTGTGAGCCCCAGTGTCCTACCTCTAAAATGGGGAAATGATTATAATGCTACACCTCGTAGGTTTGCTATGAGGATTAAATAAGTTATTGCAGTGAAGCACCTAGCCCAGGCCTGGCCCTCAGGGGTGCTCCCCAAATGCTGAGGATGAAGGTTTAGCAAGAAGCAGTGGTTTGGTGAAGGCAGGTTTCCTCTCTCCGCCCGCTTAAGCATGCCCAAGAAATTCACTCTGAGCACGAATGCGAATTTCTTCAACAAAGGTTAGCAAATCCTTTCTTTGCCTCGTCCCGGAACATGGGACTGGAGTTACGAAGGACTAGAGAGCTCATTTATCTCACCCACTGGATGCCCCAGCCAATGAACACTCTGTTGGGGGTCATTCGCGCTCCGCCTTGAGGCCTCCCGGAGAGCAAGGCCCAGTGGAATAAGCTGGAATTTGGGCTCCAACGTGTTTTGGCTGAATTCTCAGCCTCGTTGAGTCTCAAACTTTTCGTGGATAAGATGGGGACAAGAGGCTTACTTACAATTGTGATCATGAGTAAGATAATTAAAAAGCTAGCAAAGTGGGTGGCACCACGTAAGCTTTCAATAAAGGGACATTTTTGCATTGGGACTATTATTCCTAACTTTGACTGAAGTAGGTTGCCCCAGGGCAGAGTGACCGTGGCCACGAGAGAGATCTTCCTTACTTACATTTGCCCCGAACCTCCTTCCCCGTGACTTTGGAACATGGGGCTAGGCGTTCCCTGCGCTGGACCGGTCTGTTTCTCAAAACACGCTGGCCCACTCAGTCCCAGGATAATCCCAGATTTCTCCAGCCCAGCTTCCCAGGATCTTGGAAGCTATGCTCATTTTCCCAAATTGGGATGCAAACTCATTAAGAACCTAGCTCTGGGTTTCTGCTGAATTTCAAATGCGGTTAGCTGTCTCCCAGTCTTTGTCATTTACAGATCTCAGTCTGAGAAAATCTGACACACATGGGCTCATAGGAGAATCTATTCATGGGGTGAAAGCTCTTCACACAAGAATTCTTTTTTTTTTTTCAATAAAAATATACCTTTCTTTAAATATTAAATGCCTCTTTCCCTATGGCGCTTAAAATAAGATTTAGCTGATGAAAATTAGGTTGGCATATACCTTTGGAAGAAGAAAGCCTCTGAGTAAAAGTAGGAAAACATACAAGGTTTGTTTTAATTCATCAAATATGTGTTGAGCACCACTCTATGCCTTGTACTGGACCAGGCATGTGGGAGGTACAGTCAGGTGGGCCCATTCCCACCTTTGGTCCTCCTCCAGAATCCCTCCGCACCCACACAGAATTCCCTGAGGAACAGCTTACACATCCCTCATCAGCAGCACTGGGTAGACAAAATCATCTTTTAAATGCACGATGAGCGCTGGTTCTGATTTGGGGGGGGGTGGAATCGGCAGGGAATTCATGGGGTTTTGTCTAGCCCATATATTTTTGGATGCTCAGGCACCTAAAATATCAGAAAGTCAGATACTCTTCTCTTGGAAAAGGAGCCAGAGAGACAGTAAAAAGAGTAAAAAAGGAGAACGTGAAGTCGGTGATGCCGACATAGTTTCCCACTCGACACGTCTGGAAGCTGTAAGCGCAGGGGCAGCGACGTGGCTTAGAAAGTCAGCTCGACTTGGATTAGAATCCCCGCTCCCTCTCTCACCAGCCGGGCGACTTTGGTCAAGGCTCCATACCTCTCTGGGCTTCCATTTCACATTTGTGAGAATAGAGATAATACTGGGCACTTTTCAGCATGATTGCAAAGCTTCTCCACGAGCTAATGCACAGAGAGCACTGAGAACTAGGTCTGGGACCCAAAAGGTACTAAATAAAAGAAAGAGAACAGTAAATATTTATATTTTACTAATAACATAAATAATAACCTCGTTTTGACTCCTAACAACTTTCTGTTCTGTTTTAGCTCCAGCCCCTTTTTGGCTTTTGATTCCTGTTAAATATATTTCTGTTTCTAAACAACTGGTATACCTCTGTCTTCACACCAGAACTGGGTTGTTTGGGTCCACAGACCCGAAGTCTGTGGAAGGGGTCCCTGCGCCAAGGGGGTGATCCGACTCTGCCGACCCAGACTCATGCTGAGTGGCTCCAATTCTTGGTTTGACCCACATCCAGCCTGTAACTGTGTCGGTTATTTCAAGCTGGGCTGGTCCGGACAACGACGGGGTCTCCCAGGGCTCTGCAAGAGCAGAAATGCCCTCGGATGCCATTCCCAGGGGCCCCAGGGGCCATCCTAGGGGCTCTACCAACTCCCACGAGCCCCCAGCAGAGAGAGGGTGTGGATGCGAGGCCAAGCTGGCCGGCTGCCCCTGTCCTGTGGGTGAGCATCAGATTCATTGCTAGGGGCCGACACTTCTTCTGAAATTTTCCCATGAAAAAGAGTGAAAGTTATTAGATTGCATTTGTGACCAAAATGAATCCAATTTTTACCCTTTACTGGGCAGGGATGAAGACAGACTTAACCTCCACAAAGCCTAGGTTAATGAACACAATTTTCCATTAAATTTCAAAACCAAACAACCAAACACTTGGCAAATATTTGGTGACTTTAGGGTGCACAGATCTTCGGAATCCGAGCTCCGTGGGTGGGCTATGGTCAGAACTGTCTGTTAGGGTGCCCCTTGGCAGGGCTCAGATGATAGACTGGTCCAGGGTCCTACATCCCATCTGTCCTTCTGAATAGACCCAAAGAGTCTCATGGCTCGTGATCGAGAACGGAAATGAGTGATATTAAGTGCCTAGCTGATGCTGTTCCTCGGGACTCCGGCGAGATCCAGCAAGACTTCCGGTGACTTGGACAGGCTTGGGTTTTGTCCAGAATCTTTGGAGACGGGCACTTTGTCTGGAGTGTCTACAGCATGGGATATTCGGGTAGATGGAGACAGGACAGGGGGCCAAGGATCTGGACCAGGATAGTTAGAAGTCAGTGGGAAGTGGATGAAGAAGGCTCAAGTGTGGGCCTCAGAGGGCTGGCTGGTTTGCAAACGCTGGGCCAGGCCCCGAGCCCTGTGTTTTGTATCTGCCTAATTGGCAATTTCTGAGAAGTCAGGGTAGGACTCTAAGTCAGCAAAGATATCGTTGGGATTCCTACAACTCAGGTTGCAGAAGCAAGCATTAATCCATAGGACCTGGCGGGAGAAGCCGGGCCCATCGGGACATTGGAAGGAGACATCGATGGTCTTGGACTTGTAGGGGATGCAGCACCTGCTGTCCGTGCAGACCCCACAGTACTTCGGCCGGTAGGAGCGTGTGCTGATGCAGCCGGCGAGGGTGAAGTTCATGGGTGCCTCTGGCTGGTACACGGCCAAACACTTCTTCCCTTCCTGCAGAAAAGGTGGTTGCTGCTGGGCTGCTCAGAGGATGAACAGCCACCATCCTCCCCACCAAGCTCTCAATTCTCCCTCTGCATTCACCATGTGGGACCACTCCACCTTTCCTTCAGGTCTGTGGCTCCTTCAAGCTGGGAAGGACCTCCCCAAACACAGCAAGGCCCATCCACACTATGCAGGACTAACTGTGGACCTCTCAGGGCATTGTGTCATGGGGGGGGTCCCCACAACCCCAGTGTCCTCTTGCCTACATTTCCTCGCCAATGCCTGAGACTCTGTCACCAACAGAGAATGCCTGTGTTGCTTTTCCAGTCCACCCAACACACCAGCTAGTGAGTAGCAGACCCATCCCGGGGCTCCATGACTGGGGGGATACACTTTCCCCCAACCTGTTCCTCCTCCATTCCACCTCCAGCCTCTCGCACATACCCTCCTCACCTAATTTGTCCAACCAGAGTGTGTTCTGTCTCTCCGCTGGGATGTGGGCCAGTCAAGAGCAGGGCCCTTTCTATGACTCTACAGTCCAAGTCCGTGCTTGGTACACAGTAGGCACTCACAAAGCTCATTGCAGGAATGGCTCTACTATGGACCGGTGCCATGCCGGAACAGGGAGGGTGGTGGTGCAGAGCCAGGCTCCGTGGGGGCTGAGGCATATACGGTTTGAGAAACCATCTGAGGTTCATAATTGTAAAACCAAAATTGGGTGGGAAGTGTGAACCAGCAGCAAGGACTTGAGATGTTGGGGTAGACCTTCAAGAGCCCCAGGCAGGCACCAGCTTAGGACCTTTGCTCCTGTTTCTCCTGCTGCTCGTAGCCTTTCCATCCATGCTCTGAGCGAAGCCATATCGGCTGAGTGCCTACTGTGTACCGAGCCCCAAGTACAGGAAGGCCAGCATGGCCAAGGTCACTGATCAGACAGGGAGAAGAAGAGAGAAGGGGAGAAGGAGAAGGACGAGGTGGAAGGATCCCGTTGGCCAGCACGGAGATCATGGGAGCAGGGGCGGGGGACAGCCAGCGAGGAGGATCTGGGGATGCTGAGTTGCCTTGTCTACCAGGCCCCCTTCTCCTCAGCAACCCCAAGACATTATCAGTGCTCCAAAAATGGAGTCAGTGCTGAGTTTTTCTTTTCTTTTTTTTCTTTTCCCGGCAAGGCAGATAACCAATCCTAAGACAGAAGTGAGGAGGCCTCGAGAGAGGCCAATCAGACTCATTTCTAACTGTGTGACCTACTCTATCCCAGATCCTTTGTTTTAAGGATCTTAGACTCTGCAAGCTGGAGGAGATGCCTGAGACCAGCCCCACGTTTTACTGATGAGGGGCCTGGGGCTCCAAGACATAGAGAGCGGCCCCTGTCACATGCAGCGAGCAATAGACGGGCACTGAACCCCCACTGTCCTGAGCCCTGTTTTCAGCTCCCCGACTGCCCAGCATGGCTGTCATGCCTGTGCCGGGGGCCGTGTGGGCTGGAACAGGAGCAGAGGGGGAGTGGCAGTCAGCGAGGGTCCCTCCCTGTTACCATGCACCTTCCCATTTCACAAAGGGCCCCCACAAGGAAGTCCAGGGGCCAGGCTTGAAGCAGGCTCGACTGTCTGCACGTCCAACATGGCTCCCCCTTCCCGCCCCGGGAGGCAGACTGACCTTGATGTGTGGACGGATGTCCACATCACAGGGCCGCAGGCTGCACAGGCGGCTCTCTTGCTCAGGCCAGCAGTGGCTGTTGACATTGGAGATGCGGCTGGAGACCCCCAGGCCGCAGGTGGTAGAGCAGGGGCTCCAGGGGCTCGTGTAGGTGAGGCAGTTCCTGTGCCACGACTCCATCTCACCCGTGGCCGCTGAGGATAGGGACCAGACCGCCCATGAATTTCCAGCTGCTGGCAGCCCCTCTCTCCCACCTGAACCTCCAAGGGGAGGGGGGAGGGCTGTCGACCCCCAGCCGGAAAGGGCAAGTCCACTTCTAACCATCATGGGTCCCCTGGCAAAGGAGGACCCGTTCTGAGCTCCTGTAGTTCTCCGGAGGAAAGACCATCTTTACAGACAGGTGGACCGGAGTGCAAATCCTACCATCCTATTCAACTACCTATAAGCTATCGGGTTCCAGATAATTCCCTCCGGGTCTCAGTGTCCTCACTGGAACAGCCTTCCATGGCTGGTGTGACAATGAAAGGACCTGTTGACTGAGTATATATCAGGTATCTGCAAGGCACTGAGATTTGAAGAATGGAGGGTAATGGCCCTGTCCCTGCAGAGGTCAAGTTTAGATGGAGGAAATCAGAGGGAGCGTCTATACAATGGTGCCTGATATCTAAGCCGGGTGATGCTGAGAGCAGAGTGGATAAGGACACACACAGCCACGTCCCCTGGGTTCAACTCTGAGCAAAGCCACTCAGTAGCTGGAACTTCCTTAGCGCCCACCTCCTGCCTCTGTCTCCCCACCTGCAAGCGGGGTTTGGCGATAGCATCTTCCTCCCAGGGCTGTGGATCGGAAGACACATTCACACCTGTGAAAGCCAGGAGCCATCCCTGGCTCAGTAAATGTGAGCTCGTATGGTTTCTTGACTGTTAACTACAAAAGTCTTCTCTGGCTCTATTTTTTATTTTTTCTTTTCTAAACTTTTTTTTTTTAATTTCTTTTCAGCGTAACAGTATTCATGTTTTTTGCACCACACCCAGTGCTCCATGCAATCCGTGCCCTCTCCAATACCCACCACCTGGTTCCCCCAACCTCCCACCCACCCCCCTTCAAAACCCTCAGGTTGTTTTTCAGAACAATTAACATGGAGGACATGGGGAGATGAAGAGGAGAAGGGAGTTGAGGGAAATTGGAAGGGGAGGTGAACCATGAGAGACTATGGACTATGGATTTGTCTGGCTCTATTAATGTATGAATCACAGCATCTAGAACGTGGGAAGTAGTCTCTGAATAATGGAAAAATGGATGGAGCTTGAGATGGAGGCAGATAAAAAGCCAGGAAGGTAGAAGATGGATCCCACAGAAAGACCATGAGATACACAAGAGGAGGGTCTGAAGAGGACATCAGTCAGTCCAGCCCTGACACATGCACATGCACCCAGCAGGTGGGCACTCACGGGAAGCGGAGAAAGGGACAGGCAGAGGGAGAGAGGAGGAGAGACAGACGGTAGGGTACAGGAGAGGGGGAGGGAGGGGGAGAAGGAGAGGGAGAAAGCATGCTTTGCATAGTTTATGCAGGAGAACAGGAGGGGGCAGGAAAGGAATAAAAGAATGGGGGAGGGGCAGAGAGTGGGAAAGGGAAATGTAGGAAAGAGGAGACCCTAATGGAGTCGGAAGGTGGGAGGAAGGGGAAGGGGCAGTGCTGGATACCCACCCCCACCAAGGTAACAAGCCTGCAGGGAATAGGGCTGGATGAAGGCAGGAATGAATGCGTGAGAGAGGGGAGCTTTGAGAGACTTGAGAGATGGAAGAAAACAAGGAGAAGCATTTGAGGACAGAGGAGAGTGGGGCTGGGATGAGCGAGGTGTGAGCGCAGAGGAGGGAGGTGGAGGGAAGGATTTGCCTGGGAGGATAAAAGGGCTTTGGTTTCTGGGTCGCCCACAAGCAGGCGGGGGCCCTGCTTGTACTGGGTCAGAACGGGGTCACTGGGCCACATACAATGGGCAGACAGCCACTGCCCCGCCCCCAGTGACCCATATGTGGCTCTGCCAGTTGGGGAGTGTCGCGGGCCTGCTAGGGACAGAGCTTCCCCTGCCACCTCCTCCATGGACATGGGACGGCCTCTTCATGGGGCTGGCTCAGACCCTGGGAGCCACCCCAAACCCCTCCAGAGAGACTGTGCACCCCTGAAGGGCGGGGAGGGCAGGATCACCCTCCTCCCCCGCCCAGGCAGAGCCACTGAGGGCACGCAGCTTGGAGCTGTGTCTCCATCGCCTGGGCTGGTCCCCTCGCACCCCAGCTTTCCAGGGTGTTCTCTGGAACACCTTCTTCACTTGGCTCCTGCAAAACCTCTTTCTCCTGTTTTCATCCTGCCTGTTGGATTTGTCTTTCTCAGCTCTCTTCTCTCCCTCGCCTTAAATGGTGGTATCTCCAGGGCCACACGTGTGGTTCTCCCCCAGACGATTGGGTGCCCCAGGGTACAAACAGCAATGTCTGGAGGTATTGGGGGTTGTTGCTGCTTGGCGGGGGGGTGGTGAGGTAGAGGCCAGAAGTGCCACTGAACATCATACAGTGCACAGGGCAGGCCTCCCCACAAAGTCTCAGGTTCGAAATGTCTGAACCCAGGCTGAGAAACGCTGCTCAGCTCAGCCTCCTGGAGCAACCTCATGCACTTAATAGCTTTTTAAAAAATTACCAGCACCCTCAGAACTCCTCTGGGCCATGCCAGCCTCAAACTCAAGCTGTTTCAAACAGTGCAATTCTTCATCCCCAATGTGTCCCTCTCATTTTCTCTCCCAGGTCACAATGAGCCCCGAGAGTCACTGTCTACCACTCTCTCTCCTTCATTCCACACAATGGATTGAGGCCATGGCCTCAGGCTTACTTCTCACGCAGCGTCTCTCACTCCTGTCCCTTCCTTGCCACTTCCACTTCCATCGCCCTAGCTCAGATCCTCATTGGCCCAACCATCCATCCATCCATCCATCTGCCCATCCATCCATCCATTTATCCATCCCTAAGACAACTATGGATTCGGTACCTGCTAAGAGGCTGGCATTGGGCTACTGTGGCAAGCATTGGTAAAACCAGTGGGCTTGTCCCTGTCCTCCCTTTCCAGGACTTCCCTCTGGCCTGTGTACCTGGCTGCAACCTCACTTGCCCATCTATCCTTCATCGTGAGGGAAGCCACCTACCCCCTCTCCTGCTCTTATACCTTGTATCCCCGCTTCTCCTCCTCAGGTGCTGCACACGCCCCAGTCGAATCTCTTAAGTAGGGTAACAATGAATCCCACGGATCTGGCTTTGTTCTTTATAAAGCTCTTCCTCATTTTGTGTTGGGAGGACCTCACGGACAGTTGGGACACATAGAGAAGTAGGGTCGCAGAGGACAGGTGGCTTTGCCAAGGTCACACATCTAGTGGGCAGAGGTCTGGGGACTGGGAGTCATTGCACTTGCGTGCCAATCATTGGGAGTCAGGGCCCCGCCCTCTCCTCCCCCTCCCCTCCCCCCTCCTATCACCACCGGCTCCTGCGCTCTGTCCTCCCACTCCTCGCACCCACCTAGAGCACCGGTGTGGCGCTGTGCTGTCTTGCGCGGCCTCCTGGCGTCGTGGTCGCATACCCACTGCTGGCAGCAACGACCAGGGATGCTGACCCTCCGGGGACGATGGCACCAGAGGCGCGGGGGGCGTGCGCGCAGGCACAGGGGTGTGCAGCCCACTGCGCCATCCACGCATGTGCAGTTGTACTTGCAGTTGGGCTGGAAGGACTGGCCGTTGGTGTAGCGCACCCCATCCAGGACGCAGCCCACGCCGACCACCTCTGCAAACACATGTGCCGCTCGGGTCAGGCCCGCTGGGCATCGTGCCCTCACGGGGACACGGCCCGCCCCTGGACCTGGCCCCGACCCTGGGGAGTGCCCACCCTGGGGGCTGGCAGGCCAGCAAGGCAGGCAGGGCCCAGCCAGCTCCCCTTCTCCCTCCCAGAGTGTGGGGTGCGACTCAGCCACCAGCCATCAAGTGACCCTGGGGCCAGGCTGGCCGTGGTGAGAAGACCGAGTCTGGTCGGGACTGGAACCTGTGCCACCTGTCCTGTCCCACCCATCCTGTCCCAGCACATGGCACAGAGCTAAGCACTGATGAAGACCTCTAGGGCCAGGGTTCTGAGGGGCCAAGTGTAAAACCTATCATAACACTTGGGAACAAAGATCCCACTCATTCAAGGCAGGCATTTATGGAAGGTTCTGGGCTCTGGAGATACAGTGAACAAAATGGACAAAACCATGCCCTCATAGAGCTTCCCGTGCAGTGGGTGCCACTCAGGAAAGATGAAGAGATCATACAGAGAACTGAAGGCTACCAGTGTCAGGGAGAACAACGAAAAGGAGGGGTGGATGGGGCGGGAGGTAGTGGCTGATTAAGGCAGACCCCTTGCCTGTGTGATGCTGCTTCAGCAAAGGGGGAAGGAGGTAAGGAAGTTCGCTGGCACTGGTGTTCGTGGGGGGATCTTTTAGGGAGGGAGGGAAGAGACCTGGGAGGTTAGGGGGTAGCCAGAGATGAGGTGAGAGAGGTCTTCCTTGGTAGCTCAGAACTGTTAGCAGCTAGACATGCAGTGTGTGCTCCGTAAGGAACTATTGAGTCAACTCGTGCTTCACAAGAGCCCAGGAGCTACTGAACAGAACAGGGAGTACGGACAGTCAGGAGGCCACCCCTATAATCCAGGCTGGGGGTGGCCGTGCTCACACCCTAGAGGGACCGGGAGCTCAGCTTCTGGGTGTGTTTGGAAGGAATCGCCGCTGGATGAGATGTAAGGAGCAGAGGAGATGAGTCAGGAGACACTCCTCATCCCATAACCTGAGCCCCGGCAGGGAAGAGATGGATGCTCTGTCCTTGGAGGAGCTGGTTGTGGGGTGAGTGACCTCAAGAGTTTTTCCTTAGACATGAGGTCTGGTTACAGAAGCCTGGAGGGCGGGAGGGACCTGGGGCTGCTGGGCCTGGCCAGCGCTGCCCCCTGGATGCCATGTAGCCTTGAGGACAGTGTCTGGAAATACAAACATAGGGCTCCCAGGCAGCAGGGGTATCCACCCAAGGAGGGCTAGTTTGGAATCCTAAGTCTGCCCAAAGCTCCGGCGTATCTTCCGGATTTGCTGGCAGGCGGTCATTGATAGTAATAATCCCAGTATCTAACAGGAGTGAAGTGTTCCTAAGCTCTGTCTCTGTTCTTGGCCACCTGACCTGCTCTGTGACAGACTTTCATGCACTGCTGATTTCATCCTATAAGGAAACACCACCCCATTTTCACATACAGCAAAACTGAGTCTCAGTGAAGTTGAGTCACGCTCCGAAGACGACATAGCTAGAGGCAGAGTCTCAGCGTGTGGGGATGCTGGCCTGATGGCTGTTTGTCCTGGGAGGTGATCGTGCAGGGAGGAGGCCCAGAAGGAAAGGCACTACCGCTTGCAAGCCATCTGATCTTGTGCCAGGCACCATGATATGTTATCTCATTCAGTTCTCCCAGTGACTTCACCAGGAGAGTTTTCTTTTCCCCATTTGATGGACAGGGAGGTCGAATGATTCATCAGCTCAAGGTCACCCAGCTGGTGATGACAGAGCTGCACCTCGGTCCCCGGGGATCTGACTCCACAGCCCATTTCCTTCCACCAGACACCAGGAAAGGAGGGGAAATTAGGAAAAAAAAACAAACCAAGGCAAAACAAAACAAAGCAGAGGAAGCACTGGGTGAATCACTCATGCTTTTGTTCTGAGTCACACACTGACCACACCCTTGCTCTGGGAAGGTGTGAGCACACGTGTGTGCACATGTGTGAGCACGCTGGTGGATGGGGAAAAGGGAGTGTGCTGAAGCCTGGTCTCTGCCCCTGTTGGGGGAACTTTGGGTGGGCAAGGCAGTACCAGGTGCCCAGGAGCACTTAACACTTAAGTACCAGGTGCCTGGGGAGATTTCAAAAATTCTGATGCTCACACCATGCCCCAGAATATGGGGGTGGACCCGGGACTTGATATTTTTATAATTTTTTTGACTTCAATGTTTTTTAAGATTTTATTTATTTATTTATCAGAGAGAGAGAGTGCACACAAGCAGAGGGAGAAGCAGGCAGAGAGAGAAGCAGGCTCTCCTCTGAGCAAGGAGCCCTATGTGGGACTTGATCTCAGGACCCTGGGATAATGACCTGAGCCGAAGTTGGACTCTCAATCGACTGAGCCACCCAGGCATCCCTGGCCTTTGATATTTTTTTAAAGATCTCCAGGTGAATTCAGTTTGTAGCCAAGATTGGGAACCACTGCTTCCAAAAGCTGCTCCCAGTCTCCTGGGAATTTGGGGCAGGTGGGGACAGTGGTGGTGCTGGTGGCCCTGAGCAGCCTGCCCATCATTGCCTAGAGTGAGAGTAGGGTAAACGACATGTATGGTGGCTGGACCCACGGCAGACTCTAATGCCCCCACATCGCTTACTTTTGAACTAATGGAAGTACCAGCTCCTGGTGAAACACCGTATCCTATGTAATCTCAGGCTTGCAAGTACCGGAGTAGTGTGGTGAGACTTCCTCTTACCAAAGGACCTGTAGGAACTCAAATCCCTGGTTCCACCATCAAGGTCTTCACTTTCCTCCCTTCCCTAATGGACTGTCAGCTGCATGGGAGCAAGAACAGGGGATCATGCCATGTTGTAACCCACCTATTCATAACTGTGTGAATGAATCAAGGGATGGAGGGATGGATGGATGGATGGATGGATGGATGGATGGAAGGGAGGTGGGGTGAACCTTCATCTGTATTGGGCTACCATGTGTCAGGTTCTTGACATCCCAACCACACAAAGAAGTATTATTTGTCACATTTCCTTGATGACAAAACTAACACTTAAAAGGTTAAGTAGCTTGCCCAAGGTCACCATATCAGTTATGACGCTGGGATTTGAACTTAGATTGTCTATCTCTAAAGACCATGCATAAGCTGTCTACTCCTTTGCTCTGGAAGGAGACTGCCTCCTCCTCTGAGGATGACCATGGGCAAAGGTGAGATAATTTTTACAAGGGAAGGTTAAATCAAAGCAAGTAAAACAATGACCCAGAACAGCCGGTCACATTTGAGGTTTTAATGCAGTCCCTTGTTTATTCTCAATAATTGCATGAGGTTGGTTTGATCGAGCTCCTTACATGATGTGCCCAAGGTCACGTAGCTGACAAATGGCAGAGCCAGGATTCAAAACCCAGTTCTGTCTGCCTGTAAACTGCATGATCCTTCCAGCAAACCACACTGCTTTCAGGCCTGGCCCAGCTGTATTAAAGGCAGAGTAATGTTTGTACAACAAAAATAGCCGAAGAGTGTAATTCAGAGGTCACTCTGCCCATAGAAGTATTTAGTTTGGCCCACAGAATGTTTTGAAGAAAAAAAACCTTTTTTTTTTTTTTTTTTTTTGGAACGTGTTGCCAACATTTACAAAACATACACAAATCTGAACTCTTGGATTCTCCTGAAAATTGAGTAGACTAGACAAGACCAAGCTCACTTTTCTCCTTGGCCACAGTGTCTGGTGCCCAGGAGCAGAGACCCCTGGTAACCAAAGCTTGCATTCACCAAGTTGCCGTGGTTCACCCTTCTCTGAGTTACATGTGTTGGTGTTGTGACTGCTCCTTCTTATGACCTGTCTTTTCTCAGCCTAGTTACATGCACAGCTCCAAGGACAGGTTTAACCTGTCTTGGGGACCATCCAGTGGTTGAGTTGACCATTTGCCACAAGATTATCTGTGGGACTCTTCTTTCTCTTTCCCCCTCAGACCCTGCCTGCTCCTCCATCTTGCCTTAGGGTCTCATGAACTCAGACACTGTGGCCGCCATTTCTAGGAAGATGTTTCATAGAACACTAGCGAGTTGTGTGTTTGTGTGTATGTGTACACACATACAGGCATGCAATGTGTGTATCTGTGAGTGTGCACATGTGTGGTGGGGTGGGTGAGTGGTAAAATCTACCTGGACAAAACAATTCACTGTGCAAATAAGTTTCAAAAACAAGGGCTTCTTATATCTCCCAATTTTAGAATTTTGCAGTGGATGTGAACATTTGAAACCTCTCAGAAATTGTGTAACTTTGTTTATTCCACTATCTGCAAACTTATATGACCAGGGAAACATTGGCAAGTCTAATACCTATTAAAATCTGTGGACCAGTTTTCTTTCCAGGTAAAAAGGAAAGGAAATACATGGGGGCTCATGGTGAGGTGAAGCTAAGAGGCTATAGTGAGTGAAAGCAAGACCCAAGATACAAGGAGATACATGTTATGGATGGATTGGGAAGGTGGTTCTCCAAGCATCTGGTGGAGAAGGGCAGGTGCAAGAGGCAGTTCCAAGGCCTGTACAATCTCTGGGTCCATGAGAGAATGTCTATGAAGACGTGGTGCCAGACATCAGTACAGCTTTAGAGATCAGTAAGATCATAGTGAACTTAGTTATCTTTTTAATGACCTTGAAGAACAGCTGTAAAGAAGGAAAGAAATGATGAGACAATCTCCGATAACAAAGGGATTTGAGTATAGGAGGTCTCAGCCAGATTTCTTCACCTGGGTATGACGAGAGACTATATGACTTTCTATATGTATGAGCAGTTAGTCTCAAACTTGTGTGTAAATGAGAATCATCTGGGCATCTTGTTAAAGGTGTAGGTGCCCATCTTCACTTCTAGAGAATTTTATTCGGTTAGTCATGGGTGGGGCTCCAGGATAACATTTTCCACCAACACATCAGATGATTGTGTCCAGCGGTGGTGCAAGTTCTGTCTGAGCACACCATTGTGTGGGGCTAATAGAGAGTCTGAATAAACGGGGAAAAGTAAGGGATGGGAGGATCAAGCGTGGTTACTTGGAAAGCTAAAGACAGATGACTTCGCATGAAAGTTGAAGCATGAATCAATGATAAAAGATCAGAAAGTGAATTTAATTAACTGTAAACAGGCAGGATTGTCTGACTTGAAATTATGGTCATAACCTTCAGCAACCGCTTACCTCAGGAGATATGATAGGTTACCTGAGGATGAGAGACTATGCTATGTGTTGAACATATAATTGGGTGCATATGGAGTCATAGTTAGGGAAAAGTCTTGACTCAGCACTAAGGGAAGAAAGGTGTTCTTGGGTTTATGAGGCTTTGTATGTTTTTTTTCAGAAGTTAAGCTACTGTGCCATGATGCCTAGTTACCTCTCTTTATCATGCTGGGTCATGTACTTTGGATAAATGGTTAGACGATTCAAGCTAAGTGACTACCATTCCAGATAGAAGCATGAGATCAAAAAGTCCCTGAAGGGAGGTGTCTTGGAACAAAAAACGACATGATAGAGCACTTGAAGAGCAAACAAACAACAGCAACACTTGTTTCCCCAGCATGTGGATATTATAAAGAGCAAGAGTAAAGAAAAAACAAAAGCAATTAGAACCCCAGGAAAAACAAAAAGCTTCATGAGGAATTGGAGATGCAACGTGAGAGGTTTGGGGTGTAGGAAAAGAATAAATGAAACAAGATGGGATCGGGAGGGAGACAAACCATAAGAGACTCTTAATCTCACAAAACAAACTGAGGGTTGCGGGGGTGGGGGGGAGGTTACAGACATTGGGGAGGGTATGTGCTATGGTGAGTGCTGTGAAGTGTGTAAACCTGGCAATTCACAGACTTGTGAATAATAATACATTATATGTTTATAATCATATAGTAATAATACATTATATGTTTTATAATGGGGCTAATAATACATTATATGTTTATAATCAAATTTAAAAATTATTAAAAAATTTTAAAAAATTTAAAAATAAAGAGAAAATTCAAACAAATACAATACCTCATCCTTCAGCAACATTATTTACGTATTCATAATATTATAAATACTGATTACTGTATAACCAAAAATTATGAAAATAATACTGAAAGATAGGCAATGTGTCAGGTGGTATTGAGGAGTTAAGTCATCAGGTGTCATATAGGAACATTGATATGTTATCTAAAATTGGTGTTTTAAGCCAAATGAGTTATAACAGAAGACATGCATTATATGGTGAAAACTATAAGAAGAAATGAAAACCAAAAGAGAATGAAACTATGCTTAGGTCTTTCCTGGTGGCTCCCTTTTCCCAAGTCAGCCATGGATGTACCTCCAGGACCAAGAAGAGAGTGGGAAGCCAGGCTCTGGAGACAAGAGGAATGCAGGCATCCCTCCCTCTTCGGGAAGGGCACAACTTCTGACCTCTAACCACGGACTGGAGTAGGAGGGGGGCAGAAGACTGGCTAGGGGAAGGGCTACAGGGGAGGACTAGAGCTGGGGTGCTGGGGGCTGGCCAGAAGGTAGGGAGGGTCTCACTTACGTGCACACACTCCTATTGCGTACCTCGGGCGGTCCCCACTGTAATCGCAGTAGAGGCCCCGGTGGGGGTCACAGATGGCTGCCTCTGTGCAGTTGTCCCCGAGCTGCTGAGCACACATTTTACAGCATTCACAACCATCTGTGATGAGGCTGACCCCCAGCGGGCAGAGGGGGGGTGACGGTGGGCACTCACACGGCCACTTGCAGAATTGGGGGCGTGAAGCTGTGTCCTCCAGTGGCACTGGGGTGAAAGCCATGGCCGTGGAGCCTGGAGAGAAGGCCTGTGGGGGAACAGCAGAGATAAAGGACTGCCAGGCAGGGGTATCAAAGCCCAAAGGGCCAGCAATCACCTTCTCATCTTCCTGGTGTTAAAAGACTTGTATACAATTATGTTTCTTCTACCATGTTTTTAATAGCCAGAAATCTCCTTTTTCTTCAGTAAAACAAATAGGAGCAAGGAACCAGGAGGTTGGAGAAGTCAAGCCAATTTTCCCCAGTCCCCCTACTGGAGGTTGTGGGGCCCCGATTTTATGTCAGAACTCTGGCCATGCTAAGCCTCATGTGTGTTTCCTTCCATCCTCAAGCATCCCACAACCTGGGTCGGTGTCAAGTTGGTCTCATTTCACAGATGAGGGAGTTGAGGCTTTGAGCAGCAAATGCCTTCTCATGAGTCACACTGTGACCTGTTCTGTACCTGTTGCCTTTCCTCCACAGCCCAAAGAGCCACCTTCTTGATGCCACTGTGCATCCTTGGGAACTTGCAGAGCGAGGTGACTCATACTTGACAGCAGGTTTTAGCCAGATGACCTATTATTATTATAATTAGTTGCCCTCTGAGCCCCATTAAAGGCCATGGGTGGGTGGCAACCAGTGACCCCTGCAGCTGGCCCTCTCAGCCCCTCTAGAGGGGAGTTCGGCCCCTGTTGCTTGTGCCAGGTCTGCAGACAGGAGTCCCCCAGCCCACGCACCTCCCATGGCCCCATTCCCATCCCCATTCCCCAGGTTTGTCGTCATCCTGAAAATATGATGGACGCAACACTGGGAAGCTGGGAGGAGGGGAGATAGGCCCACAGAGTCGTCCCTGCTGGGAAGAACGAATAGATAGAATGCAAGGCTGCTCTGGGGTATCTTTGAGTTTAGGAGGTTCAAGTTGCCTGTATCTCTGGGAGCCAGTCACATTCCCATGCCCTCTGGGTGCTGCCCTGAACCCCTATCCTGCCCCTTGCTCTTTACACTGGAGGAAGCAGAAGCCCTAGGAGAAAGGGACTTGTCTGAGGACAGAGTGTACAGCCGGGTCTCAGCCATTCTCTCCTTCCCAGGCCAGTGTGGTCCCTGCCAGGGAGCATCCCATCCAGGGCTTCTCAGATGTGCTCTGGAATTCCAAGGTCAGCAGGGTTTGGGACCAGGGTTTCTGCAAGCGGCCAAGGTGGAGCCACAGCACCCTCCCCACCCCGACCTCAAACCCGAGAAACCCTGCTCAATGGAGCTTAGAGATCTGCCTTCCATCCTTGGAATGACACATGCTGACATATACAGATTTTTCTTCCCTTTTCCCGAGGAGGGAACTGAGACCCAGAGAGGCGGAGGGACACGGCCAGAATGACACAGTGTGGGTCAGGACCTAGGCACAAACGACTCTTGTAACTCTCATTTCTACACCCTTTGCCTTTGCCCTCTGGGATCTTAGAGTCGCATAGCAGATGTTTGCTGAGCTAGCCCATAGCCTCTTGAGAACTTTAGGTGTTTGAAGATGAATTTAAAAATTCTCTCAGGAAAAAAAATAAAAACAAAAATTCTCACAGTTTGGAGAACCCACAGCTTTTGGGAGAGATGGACATGAGAGGTGGTTTATTAGAGTGCAAAGCTGTATGCAGAGCACTGGGCGTCCCAGGGGGAGTCCCAGGAGCTCCCTGAAGGTCAGGGCAGGAGTCGCTCTGTCCAGGGGAGTGAAGCCCACCTTTGCACACTTGTCCAGGAGCGATGATCCCAGTCGAGAGGTTGGATTCACTGGGCTCTTTGTTAGGGGCTTTGCATGGAAGACTTTTCTCTGTAAATATTGATTGAACTTTTGAAAATCCAACCGGCAAACCTTGATTTGAGGCTTCTGTCACCTCTGGGCTTGGTTTCAGGGCTCAGTGGTGCCCACTCCTTTCCCACCGCAGGACCTCAGGCCTGAGTTCCCCGTGACCAGAATGTCCTTCCCGCTTCCCTTCACTGGGGCACTGGCACTCAGGCCCCACCTTAAGGGCCTCCCGCAAAGAGCACGCTCCTGGCCTGCTGACCACACTTGGTAGTCAGATTTGTGTGTGTTTGGGTGACTAAGCCAGCTCATGGGGAGGAGGGCAGAGCGGAGCCCTCCACAGGGGACCTGGCCCACAGCAAGGCACCGTAGGGAAGCTGTGGCTGTCTGCCATCCATTTCTCTAGATGCCATGGAACCTCTCCCTTCCTTCCCTCATTATCTTCTCTTTACTGGGGGCTTCTCTGCTAGGCCAGAAACAGAGACCCAGAACAGCCAGGAGAATCATGCCTGTGGCCACTTCCATCCTCCATGGGTGATGTGGCTTGGCAAGGCCTTGCTGGCCGGGGTCCAAGAACTCTAGGAGGTCGGCAGTGCTGGTTCCCATTCACCAGGGCGATCCGCTTCCCTGCCCCTGCTATTCCTTAGAAATGCAACAAGACACAACACAACCTCAAACCTCCTCATCCATAAACCAGCCAGATGTGCACACATGCATGCGCGCGCACACACACACACACACACACACACACACACACACACCCCTCTCTTTCTGAATCCGTGGAGAGAATTTTCCTCATCATTCTGTGACACTAGAAGGTTCAGAGGTTCGTAAGCACCCATAAACTGTCTCCGACCAGTCCCCAGGCCCATAATATATACATATACTCTTGGCAGAGGAAATTTTAAAAAGCCTTTTCCTCCAGGAAGCCTTCCATGCCTTCCCCAGGTGGCGTTAGAGGGGGTCCCTTCCCACTAGATAGTGAACTGTAAAGGCCTTAGCGCTGTCTGTGGGCCTGAAACATGGCCCATGGCCCACGGCAGGACTGTGGAAGTGTTGCCTAGTGGAATGGGCCATGGGGGATTGTTGATTACAAGGGGCTTTGGTGTCCTTTCATACTCAGGACCTCTGGTCCTGGAACCTTGCCTCTCAGCTTGGATTACATTTGAGTGTCTAAAAAAGAACATGGGACCTGAGTGTGTTCCTTCTGTGTGGCCCCGGACAAGCTTCCTAACCTTTCTGGGCCTTGACATCCCCATCTGTGATCCAGCCACAATAATGTCGCCCTCTGGGAGCTATGGGGAAGGGGTGCAGCCCTGTGTATGCAGAAGACTAGCAGGGCCTGGCACATGGCAGGCAATCAAAAGCATGACATCTCCCTTGCATTTCTTTGTTGGGGGTCCTCTCGCATCCCCATAGGGCTCAGCGTGGGGCTTGCGGGTTTAGGTCCTTTGAACTGAGCTGGGATGGGCTGTCATCTGGCAGATACCCTTCTCCACATGGCCGCCGTCTAACCCGGGGTCTCCAAGTTAAAGCTCCCCAGAAGGAAGCCTCCTTTCCAATACCTGCCTGAGCCCTAGAGCACACAACTCCTTAGGGGAAGCAGCTTAGGGGAGCTGGGACATTGGGGGATGGGCTCTGGGCCTTCAGCTTAGCCCTGCTCTAGCTGTTGGCGCCATCTGCTGGTAGGAAACCTTCTTGACCTCTGTCCAGGGAAGAAGGTAGGGGGAGAGCGTGGGTTGGGGGGACTGAGAACTCCTGGGTTTGATGTGAGACCCTTGAATCCTTGCTGTCTTGTCCAGCCTTGACACCACAAAGGATGTGACTGCGGATTCCTCCTGATGATGAATTTTCTCTGTGTGTGCACACAGGGAAGCCGAGGGGTGCCATGTGCTTCCTGCCCTCAAGGGTAGACGGTTTTGTTGGGGAAATGTGCTCGACTCTTCCATGCATTCTATGGACAGACACTTAATGAACACCAACCATGTGCCCAGCTTTGTGCAAGGCTTGAAGGAAGCAAGGCTGCATGGGACACAGCCCATCGGCTTCCTAGTCGACCACCCCTTGAGGCCAAGAGATGTGAGCACGGTAATTGTAATTCAGTGTGATCAAAGCTGTAATGATGGCACCACACACCCCTGCCCACCCCCCTTATTCGCTGGGTCACCAACACACCTCTGGTCAGCTCCCCCTTTGTCCAACTGCTGCACTCAGTGCTGGGCAGACAGTGGAGGATACCACGGGGAGACAAAGCTGACCTGCCTGTGTGAGCACTTAGGAGGGTTGGCCAAGTCTGCTGGGACTAGAGGGGGCTTTTTTGGGTGTGGGGTAGGGTGTGGGAAGAATAGCGGAGGGCACGCAGGAACGTTGCGGCAAGGAAGGGCACCGAAGCAGACGCAAAGGCCATGTGCAGGGCATGTGTCTGGGACGGGGAGAATTGTCGTGAGCTGGGGCAGACAAGAGGTACAAGGAGATGGAGGCTGGACTAGATCACAATGAGGTCATTGTCAAATAGATCAAGGAAGGCCCTAAATGCCTGGCTAAGGTCTCGGGCTTTTGGCTGGATTCTGCTGCCATCCTTTGTTGAAGGATTTTGGCAGAATGATCAGGACAGATTTGGAAACATCACACTGTGTCAAGCCTAGTCTTTGCAACGTACTGTCCAAGTGACTCTGGGAGTTCACTTTCTGAGCCTTGGTTTTCTCTGCTGTTCCTGCTAGATACACCCACCAAGTTTCTGGGAGCAAGTACCAAATGAGATCATGGCTATGGCTTCCAACTTGTCCTAGCCATTCCATCTGCAATTCCATTGCAGACCTTAGCTCCGGTGACCACTAGGGGCCAATCTTGAGCTAGATTTCAGATTCTGTGGCTGTTCTTTTGTCTTCCCCACAGTGGTTGGTACCATGAGCTCCAGTGTGTAGATCAGCAAAGTGACTTGTTCATGGCCAACAGGTAGTAAGTGACAGAATTTGGGATTAAACTCAAATATGCTGACTTCATGCTTTTCCCACTACTGTACATGAAGGAGAATTTTCTAATGGAAGAAATCAGTGGTAAGGTAGTGAGCACATCATCAGTGGAGGTAATCAAGAAGTAGCATCATCTGGCTGGGGGATGCAGAGGAGTTTCAGGTCTCACAAACCCTGTTACATAGTAGGTGTCAACAAGCATCTGTGAATAGAATGAATGAGTCAATGTACATTTTCCCCCTGATGCTGTCCTCCCTTGAGGGCAGAAACCATATGCCATCCATTTCCC